GCGACTCGCTTTCAAGTACGTTTACTCGTCTCGTCACAGGGGGGTCGGCGCGGGGTGGCGCTCCGCCCTGGTGCCGGAGGCCGTCCTCCGCCAGCTGTCACACCTGTTCCGACACCTGTCGCTGTCCGCCCTGGAGCAGCTGCCCCCCACCTGCCGGCCGGAGCCGCACGTCCTCGAGAACACCTCGGCCGCGCTGGGGAGCGCCGACCTCGCCAACCTCCAGGCCTTGCCGGCCAGGTTCCTCAACCCCGACGCCCCGCTCGTCATCCGCAGGTGTGTTCCCGAGGGATCCCCCCCGGTGAGCCCTCTGTCGCCTCAGCCCGCTGTCAGCCTGACCTCACGCTCACCCTGCTCGCCCCCAGGGGCGTGCTGCTGCCGCGACTGCTCGCCACTCACCTGTCGGCGCTGAGGGAGGAGCTGGCCCTGAGGCCGGACGTCCAGCTCGCGGCCCGCTCCGTGCTGGACATCTGTAGGGAGCGGCTGCCCGTCCTCCAGGACGGTGACGACGACGAAGACCGTCAGCGAGTGGCCTTCGTAGCACTGCACGTGCGGCAGCGCGACGTGGCCCCCTGGAACCACCCGCGGCGCAGCACCCTCGGAGCCGACTACTTCCTGTCGGCGATGGATCACTTTCGGGCTCGGCTGCAGCGCCGTGGGCTCACCCCCTTGTTCGTGATCACGACCGACGACCCGGCTTGGGTGCGTGACAATCTTCCGTCTGGCGCGGACGTGTGCGTCACCGGCACCGAGCGCGCCGACGAGTACGTGGGCTTCGCGGTGCAGGCCTCTTGCCAGCACGCCATCCTGGACCGCAGCAGCACGGCTCTGGCCGCGGCGATACTCGTGGACGGGGAAGTGGTGTACCCCAGGGCCGTGGCGAAGGAAGAACCAGGTCTGTCCAAGATCCCCGGATGGGTCGTCAAATGAGAAAAGCGAATAACTACAATCAATTTTAAGAATTTTTGAGTTTCTGAATGCATCAGTGGCAATTAAATTAACACTTTGTTCTCTTGGGAAATTCATAGAGGAATTACTTAAGGCCACCTATGAGCCACCTCGAGTATACAAACTTCTGGTACTAACAAATGAGTACAGGGCTGTACAAACAATAGTAAATACAAAATTCTAGTTACTTTATTTTTATAATTCAGTCACACATGCAAATAGCCACAAGTGCCCCAATAATACAGAAAAACAAAACAGAAATAGGAAGTCAACAAAAACAAATGGCACTTGAATTATCACTTTTTAAACCTGTACAGGTTTTTTTGAGCGAAGAAATAATAACTTAGAGTACTATTAAACAGTGTGTCTCTTTTCTTTATGGTGTCGAAGAGTAACATTGTACCTAAAGGACTCTTGGCATATGTCACAAACATACGGCTTAACTCCAGTATGCACCCGTTCATGCTGTGCCCTATTCCACCCAGAAGAAAAACTTTTATTACAATAGCTACATGGGAATGGGGAAGACCCTGTGTGCATTTTCATATGGGCCTGAAGGTTTCTATTTGAGCTGAGGACCTTGTCACATATACCACATATTTTTAATGAACCCTCACTAGAGTTTTGGGATTTTGAAAGTCCACCTTTAGTATCTTCCACTTTTGAAGCAATCCCTTCAACAGGATCATTGTGAGTATCATTCAATGCTTTCTTTTTTGGAACAATTGACCACTTTTCATCCTTGACAGTTTTTTGAAGTTTTGGGGAGTCTGTGTCTACCTCTCTCTTCAGCAGTAAGCTATCCAATGCTTCAGTTGACGTCCTAGGTAATTCCATACATTTTTTGGAGGACTTCAATTTACTCCCAGACTTGCTGTTGCTTGTTCCCTGCTTCCTGAAAGATGGCCAATAAACAAGATGGTCCACACTACACCTACTCCGAAAGCTTCGACGAACAAACTGAACTTCATCACAAGAAAGATTGCCATTTCCTTGAGTAGTTTCAGTGCTATTATCATTTTCCTTTCTCAATACTTCTGAATCAGAATTTGGCACTGATGAGGAATTTGGTGAAATTAGTTTGTTATCTGGCAGAATGTTGCTCGGGGCCACAACTGAACCATTACTACTACTGCTAGTAGTTGTCAGTGTTGGTTTGGGAGATTTGATAGTTTTAGTTTTAAGAGATTCTTTGGCAGATTTTGCTATACCAGACAAAAAATTTTGACTGGAAACCTGCCGCACAAAACTAGCGGCATCATGCAACATTGATGACCGAATCTTCCATGACTCAGCTTCACTTTTTATAGTTTGAACACTCTTCTTTATGGCATCACTTATTTCTTTCAGAGGAAACAATACAGTCAAGAGAGAAATCGTGTTCTCCATGTAATGTATGGCATCTGACAGGAGTGACATATTATATTTTAGGGTCGTTGACAGACTTTGTACACATGCAAACATGTCGTAAGCACTTGCTAAAATCGTGGGTATAGTTGAAGTGCCAGACTCTTCATTCGAGGCAGTCTCAATAGGGTCTGGTAGATTTTTCGGTGAGCTTGCTGATGTGGGTTCAAAGCATGCTGGTAATTCTTTACCAAATTGGTTGTTCGAGTTAAGATCCTGCAAATGCAAGGCACCAGTGATAAAAATATATCAAATTGGTAATTATTTTGTTCACACAAAAGAACTTGTTATTTTCAAACAAAATATTTAAATCAGTTACCTTTATGGGCAATGGTGTGATACTGCCACAGCAGTATGCCGCACTTGTTTTAAGGCACTGTAGTTTCAGTTCATAAGCATCTTCAGTTCGTGAAGCACATCCAGTACAAATGTATTCTGGTAGTTCATCTCTTTTCTGAGGCTGTGAAATTGTTAAGACAAGTTGTAAGAACTTTCAGAAGCACAAAAGGTGTGTGTTTTAAGCTCGAAAATGGCCAAAACATAGCCATACGAGCCCGTTGTTTACATATTGGAAATAACGTTCGGCGGTAAGAAAGATTAATTAAATGAATAACTGAAGGATCAGTAGAGTCACTATCCTAGACACACACCTGAAAAAAGCCGATAAATTGCAGCTTAAACCACAACTCGTCGTAAGACGTCCGCTGCAGGTGGTCTTCCAACGCCGACAACTCGTCTCCACCGTCTTTCTCCAGATTTGAAAGACAAACTCCACACGTCAAATGGCCCATATCCTCTTCCTCTCAAACCAATCCAAATACTTCTCCTACTTCGCAGCCCGTACACGAGGGCGAATCTCACTGACAACCTAAGACATGCCTTTACAGGACAGCAAAGAAACTGAGTGTTCATCTCATCAGCACGGGGGGCGCCCCTCCCCCCCCCCTCAACCACACCCCCTTCCAGTGTGACAGAAAAGCGCGCGGCTGCTTTAAGCTAAGACAAGATCAGTTAAGTACACGTATTCTCGAAGCACTTTCGTAGACGGGAAAGACTACAACAAACGAGGCAGCAGCTGCAAGAGCTCATATCATGAATTGCCTCTAGGGGAATGCAATATCTAATATTCAGAGTCCGTTTTCACCTAAATGATAAAAATGTGAGAGAAGGGAGAAGGACCTCTAAGGCATGAAGAGTTTTAAAGCCTGTAAATTTTGATCACCTTAATAAAATAAAGCATACCCAGGTCTTTGAACTCTCAATGCTCTGAAACTATTCAATCTTTCCAAAAGTATCACACTCTGGTGTAGTGATCATAATCATACTAATCACAAAATAATTTGGCAACAAATATTCGCAAAATCCTCTTAAATGCAATTTGGTTAGGGAAATTTAAGCATGTTTGACTTGGTAACTACATTTTAACTGTGGGACAAAATCAGAAAATTTAAAATGAAATCCTAATTTTTGTTAAAACTTACAAACGCATCAATATATTTTATTTTTAAAAATATTCATTGATGAGTTTGTTTTGAGGAGTTGTCACCAACTTCACTCAAGAGCATTAAAATATATCAAAGAAAGTTCAGGATCATTGATCAATCATGTAAGATTCAATCAGATATTTCATTGCAGTAACTTGATTAATGAAAAAAAAGGGTCCAGCTGTTGAAACAAGAGAAGCAGTTCATACAATTGAGTGTTTGATTCCTATGCCTTTCTTTAAAATTCCAGCCTATTCTCATACGGTACTTTCACCATCCCCATTTTTTTGTTCTCTTCTATTTGCCTCAGATACATTATTTTCATCTTCGTCAGGATTTTCTTCAGTCAAGTGATGACCAGTGAGATGGTAATGGAAACAGCACAGCACCTGAATAATTTAAGAGGATAATTTTTATGATACGTACAAGGTTTATACAGACAACATTTTAAAGGAAAAGAAGGTTTTAATTTACCTGAAATATATTTTCAAGTTTAGTTGACATATTTGACAGATGTTCTGCTAGGCTCAAATTGTATTCATATGTATCCTCTTTAACGGATACGTTTTTAAGTTGTTTCTGTCGCACACTTATCCACTCCCATTCTTTTCTCTCAGTTAATGGGAGTAATTCAGGAATATGATATGCTGTATCATTAACTTTATCAGATCTTTCAAATTCTGATTTACCAAGGAGGAGACATAGTTGTTCCCAGAGGTAACGCTGAACAGTGGTTTTATGCTCTTCAACCATACAAGCATAACGTCTTTCTGTTGCCTCCCTCAAACTATTATAATTAGAATAAGTATTTTCATCTGGCCTAGTGTTCACTGGTGCACAGAATTTCTGCAGAAGATCAACATAACTAAAACAAAGGTAGTTATTAGAAACATCTTCTTATAATCTGGAAATAATCTGATTGTTTGAGCCAGTACCCAAGGAAAACATTTTTTTCAAGATGATCTCATTGTGACTTCTGAGGTCAAGATTCTTGCACTTGTGAGATCACCAGTGAGAACCACGTTTTCCTTGGGTAACATCATACTTCACTTACACTCTCACAAATATCATCTGTTTCCAAATAATTGGTGCAATTTTTCTTGTATACTTTTCTGGTTGGTCGTAATAATCAAACTCATAGCCAAGAGCACTAATAAGTTGCTCAAGGGTTTTAGTGAGAATGTAGCCTCTCTCTCCACTAGTCTTACTTCTTGCCAAAGACAAGAGTTTCTTGGCATGCATAGAAAGTCTGTAACTCTGCAGTAGGATATTAGAAAAAGTTCAGTACAAATCAGGATAAATGATATATGCATTCTTATTAGAATTTTGCATTATCTCACAATATAAATAATGTTGCTCTGGAAGTCTTCATAATCACTCTTCAAAATGACATCTGATGGGTAATCTGGCACAAGAGATGGAGAATTTGGCCGGCCATCAGGTGCTGCTTCCCAAACATCTAGCTTTAACTTCACCAGCAAAGTCTGAATATAAAGATTTAATGTTAAATTCTTAGGTATAAGCACAAAAATAAAGGACAGAAATGGTAGGTTTTAGTTTGTTTCTTAAGTTAAGGACAACTCTTACCTGTAAGTGAGCAGGGACCTCAAGGAAAAATGGTTCTGTTAAATCAAGCAGCTTGTCTCGTGTTAATCGAGCAGCTAAGGTCAGTAGAGTAAGTACGGGTTTGTGAATTTTCACAACATAACGTTTTGGCACAAGGACTCCATTTTCAGAGACAATATAAGCTCTGGGCCAAAAGATTTCGTTTTTTTCAACACACTGCAAGAAAAAATATAGAACAAACTAGGTGGTAAAAGATTTGCAAATTAAGAAAGTCAAAGAATTTTATCAAGAGATCAAAATGTATTACCAGTGGGTCGCCGGTGCTTAAATCTGAGAAAACCCAAGCGTGGTCCACAAATGTATCACAGTCAAAATATTGATTTGGACCAATAATTCTGTAGATCTTTGGAGTTCCATCAAAATCTATCCATTTAACCATTACTGGAACATTTGATGTGTTTAGAAATCGTACATAGGCTTTCTTGGGAGGATGAGGGAGGGATCTTAAACGGTTTGCTGGACCTTGGTAACCCCGAGGAACTTCTTGGTAAATGAAATTCATTCTCGAAGCGTATTCTAAATTGCCAGCAGAAGCAGGAGCGGCCTCAACCATAGTGAAAGTATGGACTTTGTTGGCAAATGGATCACATAAGATCGCATGCAACTTGTTCGTTCGTCCCTACCCTAGCCTATGTAAATGTAAGCAAAAGCCATTTTAAGGTGGTGAATGGCAGCAGAATAAGTACTTGGAATTTCGACGATATCAATACGAGAAGATCAAAAAAACACTACAAAGATGACAGCTGGGCATCATTTGTGTTATTGTTGACTTTTCTTTCCATAACTGTTGTCTGCTACGTGACTACAAACACGATCTTCCTGCAAATAACACTTCCGTAAAGCTGCAGGCAGGAACTGGGCAGGAGCAGATGACAGAGGGGAGGTACTGTTGGACAACCAGACAGTGTTTTGAAAAAGAGACACGCTCTTAGGTTAAATTTTCAACATTAGTTTCCTCAATGGCTCGTCCAAAATACGATTTAATCAAAACTATTGAAGATGACGAAGAGGTCACTGATCTTTCAGAACCATCTGATGACGAGGAAAGTGTAAGTACTTACACAACAAAATAGTTGATGTGTTGTTGTGATTGTGCTCGTCTACACGTGTGATTCCAGTTGCAACGGGATCATTAGTAAATGTATTCGTTATTTGTGAAATAAGTGCTATAATGTGGTTACTGGCATACGTCACACTAGTTAAATGGCTCATCTATGCAGAACTTTTTGACGTTTTAGTGTTCTTTCGCTCAGAAATGCTTATCAGGTTTTACTTAACCTGTCCAAGGATTGCACACTCACATTTATTTTATTTCAGTTTCAGCCCACCAAGCAGAAAGTAAAGAGGAAAGCTGATTTTAGCACTGACTTCCAATTTGTGTCAAGTGTCAAGGAGTACAATGCGAATGCCTGGGATGATCTCACGAAGTACATTAACCGCAAGGCCAAAAATAAGGTGGATGACAAGATTGATGCTGCCAGAAAAGATCGCCTTAAAAAAAATGTATGTACTGAGGACTTGACAGTTGCATAAGGTTTTTCACTTGTAAGGTACTCCTTGTAATTCCCCTCAATTTGTTTTTCCCTTGTAATTCAGAAAGAGTTGAAGGACCAAAAGAAGAAACAAAATGGTACCTCACAAGACTCAGATGAAGATGATAGTGAGAATGATGATGCAGCATCAGATGATAACAGTGATATTGTTCTTTCTGATGATGAATTACAAAAAGGTAGTATCATATTTACATTTTACCTTGTAGGTCAAAAGAGTGATAGATTAAATTATTTTATTATTCATGAACTCTAGATGACATAAAGGTCAAAGACCGCAGTGTCAAGAGGGCTGAGGTTTTGCGACGTCAAGGGAAAGGTACTGGTGTGCTCAAGGTCGAGGCTGAAGAGCCTGATCCAGAGGATGACTTTTTTGAAGATGCTCCACCTTTTGATGAAAGTACAACCTTCAATCAAATGAATCTTTCTAGGCCGTTATTAAAAGTATGTACATTGAAAGTGTTTTTTTCTATTGCTTGACAATGTTTGCAATTTCTAATAATTATTTTTTCCTTTACCAGGCAATTGCTGCTATGAATTTTGTCCACCCTACACCTATTCAAGCTGCAACTATTCCTATGGCTCTACAGGGCCGTGATATTTGTGGCTGTGCTGCAACAGGTACAGGTAAAACAGCAGCATATATGCTTCCAGTTCTAGAACGATTGCTTTACAGGCCCAATCAGGGAGCAACCACTACAAGGTTTGTAAAATTTATTCATTTATTTATTGTGATCCATTCCATTTTGTTCTATTTTCAAGCTTCCTTAATGAAACTTTTTAACTTCTGCAGAGTTTTAGTGTTGGTTCCTACCCGTGAATTGGGTGTGCAGGTCTATCAAGTCACCAAACAATTGGCCCAGTTCACTTCTATTGAAGTTGGATTGTCGGTAGGAGGTCTAGATGTTAAGACTCAAGAAACTGTGCTCCGCAAGAATCCTGACATTGTAATTGCTACACCAGGAAGACTTATTGATCATATCAGAAACACCCCTTCATTTTCTCTGGATTCCATTGAGGTCCTCATTCTAGATGAAGCTGACAGGTAAACCCATAGCTTTTTTTCTGTCAAGAAATTGTCTTGCTTCTTATTCAAAACTAATCTATAACTTTTCTGAAAAGAATGTTGGATGAAAACTTTTCTGAGCAAATGAAAGAGATTGTTAAACAAACAGCTCGCACTCGTCAAACAATGCTGTTTTCTGCAACCATGACAGACCAAGTTGAAGATTTGGCTTCTGTCTCACTTTCTAAGCCAGTTAGAATATTTGTGGACAACAATTCTCAAGTAGCATTTAATTTGAGACAGGAATTCATCAGGTATGTGTCTACTGGTCTTAAGATTTGTTAGTTGTATTTGACAGAAAATAATATTTGTCATTATTATTTTTGTTATTCATCTCAGAATTAGACGTGAAAATGAAGGAGATAGGGAAGCCATTTTAGCTGCCTTGGTTTGCCGAACCTTTAGAGATCACACAATGGTCTTTGTTACCACTAAAAGACAAGCTCACCGAGTTCGACTTCTACTTGGATTGCTAGGAATTAAGGTGCCAAACTTTACTTAATATCTTGACTAAATAATTTTCTGAGAGGTAAGATACGGCAGTGATACATTTTTTCTCATTATTTCTCACCAGGTTGGTGAACTCCATGGAGATTTAACACAACCACAGCGTTTGGAAGCCTTACGTAAATTTAAAGATGAACAGCTTGATGTTCTAGTCGCCACTGATGTTGCAGCCCGTGGTTTAGACATCCGAGGTGTTAAATCTGTATGTATCTTTGTTCTATATTTGTACTACTAGTATTACTATCTACTCTACCTAAAAGATTTTCTCAAATTTATTTTGAATCTTACAGGTCATTAATTTTACCATGCCAGCAGCATTAGAGCATTACATTCACAGAGTTGGACGTACTGCTCGAGCTGGTAGAAGTGGTATATCTGTTTCTTTAGCAGGAGAAAGAGAACGTAGAGTAGTTAGAGAGGTTATTAAGAATGCCACAAATCCTGTCAAAAGTAGAATTATCCCTCCAGGTATACTTCAGTACAAAATTATTGTTTTCATCCTTTTTTTGTTTTTGAAACTTAATTAAGTCTTTACTGTATGCAGAGATTATTTCTAAATATCGAGAGAAATGTGAGGTTCTTAAAGAGGATATTAAAAATATTATGGAAGAAGAATTTCAAGAGCGCCAGCTGAATAAATTAGAGAATCAAGCTAACCGTGCAGAAAAAATGTTGAAGGGGGAGAAATCAGAGAAGAGGGATTGGTTCCAATCAAGAAAAGAGAGAGAAGAAGAGAAAGGTATTTAAAATCAATGACTAGTACTTACCTGCATGAGCTTATCAAAATTATGAATTCCTTGGCTACTTTTTTTTTTTTTCTTTATTTCAAATGTACTTTTGTTCATTTATGCAGATCGTTTGAGACTTACTGAAAAGCCAAGCAAAGAGAAAAAAGCCAAACCCTCTAAAGGAGAGAAAAAAAATCCAAAGGATGAGAAGACTAAGGATAAAAAGAAGAGCAAGAAGAAAAATGTCATGAATGATGATACTCCTGAGGGACGGGCTGCTAAAGAATTGGATAAGGCGGCTCTTCTTCAAGCAAGATTAGCAAAACGCAAGACCAAGCAGAAGAAGATGAGTACAGTTTATGACAAAGCATCTACCCAATCAGAAAATGCAGCATCTCGTAAAAGAAAAATGTCATCATTTAGCACTGACCTCACTGACACCAGCATAAAGGGAGTGAAAAGGATAAGATATGAGTAAGTATAATTCCTACTTATCCACCATGTGTGTATTATATTGTTATAAGAATCTAATGATGATCTCTTTTTCTATTCTTAGAGCAAATACTAAGAAGAAAATGGACGAAATTCAAAAGAGGAAGAGCTCTGGTGTCAATAAGAATACAAAAACATTTAATAAAAAGATGTCAAAACTCAAAAAAAATGAAAAGGGCGGGAAAAATGTTGGGTCAAAGAAAAGGAGATAATTTTATACTAAATAGCAATGAATTTAAAGCCTGATTGGATTAACTGTTTGCCTTTATTTCCCAATTTCTTGTGAATGTCTATTCCTCTGTGGTATTGTTTCATGCACAGCTTATCAAGATTAAATTACCAAACAATTTATCTAATTTATTTTAAATTTTCCTTACTGAGGGAGAAGTAATTGATACACTTTGCTTCAGTCAGTTAATGCCACCTTATTTTATTATTATAATACATAATCACTATATTAGAAGCTGCTTTCTGTCAGAACTGCTCTTGATTGAAAATGACCAGCATTGTGAGAAAGGAGCAGTAAGAAGAGAAATGTGTTTTGCAGTACGGATTAATTAGTTCATAAGTAGATGAAGATAACATTCTTGGCAATTGAAAGTCAAAAATCGTAAACTGAAGAAACTTAATCTATTGTTTAGGGGAGAAAACAAATAAAAAACAGATCACAGAACACACTTAAAGCTAGCATCACATTAACAGTACGGTAACGCTGACTCTATTATTTTAAAAAAGTGAGAACACAATATTATGCGAAGGCCCTGGCTGGCAGTGGTTGACAACTAATCCTTTTGTTAGTCCATTAGAGGAAATTGTCAAAATTTAATAAGTCTTCAAGTTTGGCCACATTTATGGAAGAAAAATTACTGACCAACTTCAAAACTGTGTTATGAGCCCAGCCGTGCTATAGCTGTCGAGCCCTCGCTGGCCGATCCTCATTCTCTTTTCGATAGGTAGCTTAGAACGCGGGCCGTCCGAACACCCTAGCCGAGCGGCAGTCAAAGTCTTTTCGTGATTCCGAAACCAACAGGCCGCATCTTCGTGGCCAGGAGTTTACCCTCGAGGCAATATCCGTCCGGTTCGGACCGGACTTCCCTACACGGGTCGGCGGCACCGTCACTGTCACTTGTCAACGAGTCGAGTCGTCCCGGGCTCACATCGTGATGGTGTTGTCCAGGTCCCGGCGCACGGGCGTGTGCGCCTAGGCGGCCAGGACCAGGTTCTCGACGTGGCCCTCGTTGACGCCGTGCTCACATCGTGATGGTGTTGTCCAGGTCCCGGCGCACGTGCGTGTGCGCCCAGGCGGCCAGGACCAGGTTCTCGATTTCGCACTCGTTGACGCCGCGCCGGATGCGGAAGAAGCCGCGTTCGCCCCACCACTCGCCCCACGAGTTGGCTGCGATCTGCAGAAACAATACGACGGGGTTGAGGAAAGGGGTCACTTTCGCTGGGGTTGCGCCTCGCGGTCTGCGGCCCGCACCCTAGACTTACCCAGTACTTGACGCCCGCCTCCTCGCCCCAGCCGACGATCCGCACGGAGTGGAAGCCGGTGCGCGCCGTCTCCGCCATCGGCATGTGCTCGTAGACGCCCGACTGGTACGAGAACAAGTCCTGGTAGACTCGCATCGTCGCTGAAAGGTTTTCGTTTCACCATGAGTGATCTGATCAGTGCATGTGCATGTGTTCGAAGGCGCGCGGCGCGGCACTGCCTCTGGCGGCACTCACCTTGCACGGGGCCCGAGCGGATGATCTCCCTCATGATGTCCGCCTCGCCGGCCAGCCTGTAGGCGGGCCCCATGCGGTACAGCTCGGTCTTGGCCTTGCGCGAGGTGGCGGACCGCAGCGGGCAGCGCGCCGTGTCCAGCGTGGCCTTCTTGGGGACGTGGCACTTGTCCTCGCGGCCCGTCCATGGGTAGCACGACTCGGGCACCAGCCTGGAAGCAGGTCCGGAAGGCCGGCGTTATGGTGGTGACGATGCGGGGCGGCCGATCGTAGGAGTGCGGACTTACCCGAACTTCCTGGTGAAGTACCAGGCGCGGTCGAGGTGGCCGCCGTTGCAGCCGTGCTGCTTGCGGTTGTTGCAGTCGAGGAGGTGCTGCGCCGCGAGGCGCGGCGTCTCGCGGCCCAGCGACATGATGGCGTAGCGGTCCGAGGCCACGGCGGCCGTGGACAGCGCCCAGGACGCGCCGCACCAGCCCTGGTCCTGCACGGGCGACAGCGCGCCGGGCCACACGGTGCGCGCGTCGAAGGAGGCAGGCAGGTTGGGCGGGTCGAGCGTGTGCCGCAGGGGGTTCATGTGCAGCACCACGTCGGACGGGTTGAGCGTCCCCAGGCGCAGGCTCACGCCGTCCTCCAGGCTGCGCCCCCAGAACTCGGTGTAGTTGGCGGCCGTCCACCGGGCGGGGCGTCCGCGATGTCCCCCGCCGTGTCCGGGTGAATCGGCCGTCGGCGACCCCGCGGGCTTCGAGCCCGCCTCCTTGTTGGCCACCTCGAGCATGTCCGCCTCGATGAGGCAGCGCTCTCGCGAGCACAGCATCTCGGCGCGGCCCTTCATCTGGATGCACTGGCTGCGGGCAGGAGATAGGGGAGGGTG